TCAACGATGCCTCCAAGCACAGAGGAAGCAGAGGAGATGTTGAGCAGTCACCAGATTCTGGATACAGTTTTTAGGCAGACCCAGTGGGACTCACTGATGGAACTGCACGTGAGCTGTGAGAGAAAGGAAGGACTCTTATCTTCTGAATGAGACTGGGAACTCCTTGAGGACAAAAGTCACCTGTTATATTTCTTTATGATCTTTATAGAAACCTAAGAAGGCTTCATATACAATAAATACATGACTAAGTTTTTGTTAAATGAAAAAAGGAGGGAAAAAGCAAGTCTGTATCAGTAGACTTGGGGTTCCTATGCCCATAATGATTTGGAAAAATAGACGCTGTTTCCTGTATTTCCAAAAAATCTTAAAAATTGACTATTTTCCCCAAGGTAACGCTATTGAAGCTAAAAAAAATCTTTAAATGTCTTTGTTTGGGCTGGAATTCATTACTTTGATGAGGTAACAGGTTTTTTATCTGCTATTTAGAAGTTCTGCCTGGCATGTAAAATGGATGTATTATTACCATTTAATTTGTTTGACGAAAATATTAATAAAATACAGGGCTTACAAGAAAAATAGTAAAATGCTTTGGATATAATGATTGGGAATCACTCCCCCCTCAAAAAAAGCCCACTCCACAATATCTATACTTTCTTTTTTATTCTTGTTTACAACATAAAGTTCTCCATTGTCTAGAAAGAAAGCACAAAAGAGAACATGTTAAATCTTATGATGGGTTTTTGGAGATGATCTAGTCTAATTCACTAAGTTTATATTTGAAAAATATCAGTAGTAGAAACGTTAAGGTGACAGACATAATTTTGTTTCCAATACACCGTAACACAAATTCTGAGTTGTCGAATGAGGCCTAACAAATAACAGTAGAGGAATTGTGAAATATATTATTTCTTGAATCTTCCTTCTTGATATTTGCTTGGCAACAGTAATTAGCCACAAACAATCTTGAGTCATAACTGTCCAGAGAGCACGGTGAGAGGTAGGTGTGTGGAAGGATGGCAGATGAGGGAGAAAATAGAATGAGAGGCACCTTGATGGGAGAACTCTAGCTTTTTTAAACTCATACTGTTGCTAGGAGGCATTTGTGCATAATTTTTCACCGGGCTTTATAGTCACACACCGTCATATTTGAGTCAAAACTCTGATATTTAGAAGGTGTGTGACCATGGCCAAGTTTCCTAACTAGGACATCGGTGTCTTTGCGTACCTTATAGGGTAAGTTTTGTCAGCTATGGTAAGACTATTTTTAATATGGTTAGAGATAGCAGGAATTCAATACATGATATTTTTATTACTAGTAATTTTCCTAATGGGTTTCAGCATTTCTTGCCTTTGTGTTTGAATAGAAACTCCTTCACCCTTCATATACTAGATATCCTGCTAGTCCTTGAAGAGCCCGGTTTGAATGTCAGTCTCTCCTTCAGTAGTTCATACACTGTCATTCAGTTTTTCACTTACATGCAGCTATTTGTTTCAAGATCTTATCTGCCTAAGTTGGATTTCTTGTGGAATAGTGAAAAGAACCCAGAAGTCTTGGGTTTGAGTTCAGCCAGCCACTCTTTCATGAAAGTGGGACCCTTATGAATATAATGGAATGAGGGATATATTATAAGAACTTACACAATTGTTGAGAAAGTTATTTTCCAGAAGAAGGAATTCACGGATCTGAGAAAAGTCACTATTGGGTTCCATGAGGTCCTCGTGTGGATGGGCAAGTCAGAGCTGCCAGGGGAATCTGGGAGGCCCGCCACATCCAGGAGGGGGGCCCTGAAAGAAAGCTGGAAGAATACTCAGTGAAAAGCTTTTGTCTTTGCCTGGCTACTGCCTCTTTGGATCCATGTTAAGGCCCTTGTGATGGGTGTGTTGATCAGCTGTGCTGGAAATTTGGAAGATCTGGGTATGAAGTGGGGGAGGGCCAGGACATGCTAGAACCCTCTAGGTCTCCGCATGTGTTGTCACAGCAAACTACAAAGACCTTGAGAGAGGAATAGATACTGTTTCACTCTGCTTCCCAAATCTTGCACAAATTCCTCTTTGGGCCAACTGTACTCACATGCATACAGGCAAGAGGAACCTGAGAAACACTGTTCCAGCTAATGAAGTCCATAGAGTACAAACCACCACTGCCACTTCTTGGCTATGTTGGTTGTATTGGGAAGTTGACCCAACCTTTCTGATCCCCTCCTTCCCTATTATTGTATTGATGTAAATGAGATAACTATTATAACTACCTCTATAGGGTGATTAGTAAGAATTAAATAAGATAATGCAAAAAAAAATCCATTACAAAATACATAGCTGGATGCGGTGGCTCATGCCTGTAATCCCAGCACTTTGGGAGGCCAAGGTAGATGAATCACCTGGAGAAGTTCGAGACCAGCCTGGCAAACATCTCTACTAAAAATACAAAAATTGGCCAGGCCTAGTGGCACATGCCTGTAATCCCAGCTACGCAGGAGGCTGGGGCAGGAGAATCACTTGAACCTGGGAGGCAGAGGATGCAGTGAGCGGAGATCACGCTACTACCCTCCAGCCTGGGTGACAGAGCAAGACTCCATCTCAAAAAAAAAAAAAAAATTACAAAATACAGAAGACCTTATCAGATTACTGTTGCTAGATACATCCATTCATTTCATTAATGTATGTTTATTGTGCATCTACTATGCACCAGCAACTATACTATGCCTAGGATCCAAGGCAGTGACAATATCCTTGCTATCTTCAAGCTGAATGAGACATAATTAGATATTCAAGTGGAGATGTAAAGCGAGCATTTGACGGACTGGATATCAGGGGATAGGCCCTGGTTTAAAACATACATTTGGAAGTTATTAGTGTTTAATAATGAAACTCTAAAATGTATGAGCCTGAATTAGGTCACTTTAGGTAAAATGCATGTAAATTGAGAGGAGAAGAGGTTTAATGTCTAAGATCCGAGACACTTCAGAATTTGGGGGTCAAAAAGATAAAGAGGAACAAGGAAAAAAGGTGAGAAAAAGCAGCCAGTAAGGCAGAAAGAGAACTAATAGAGAGTGGTGTCCAGGTTAATTTATGCTGAAAGATCAATTCATATGACAATTGAGAATTGACCATCAGCTTAGCACATGGAGGTCATTTGCCAAAGTGGAACAGGTTCAACACGTAATGGAAAGAAAGATTTTGGCATAAAGGGAAGCAGGAAAATAGGGTGGCAACAAGTGGGAAGGGTGTCAAGAGATATTATATATATATGTTTATGTGTGTGTATAATTTATATATATAAGTTAGAGTCAATTATATATATAGTATGTGTGTGTGTGTGTGTGTGTGTGTATATATATAGGCTCTCTCTATATAGAGAGCTTGGGTGCAGCTTCCTATGAGGATGGAACCTTTACCCAGAGATGCAAACGAGGAGGAAGACTGCTTCCTTCAGGCAGTTCTCTCTTAAGAGGAAAATGTTCAAACTGAGTGAGCGTGCCCAGTTGTATATGCAAATGTATTAATCCAAGTCACACAAGTCACATCAACTTCTCAGGAGCAGACTGAGCAAAAGGGAAGAGAGAGGGGTGAAAGGAGGGATAAGTAGATTTCAGCGAGAGCAAGAACGTTAAAGAAATATTTTGAGAAGTCGAAAACGAAGAGAATTTTGCTGAAGAAGATTCTAAGTTCCAGAGGCTACAGTGGAAAGATGTGGGGAGTTGGAGTGGGAGACAGGTCAGACTAGAGTGTGTGTAGTTTGAGACAACGATATTTCTCCTGTAGTGCTTGGAACAGGGGCTAGGTTAGATAAATATTTGTTCCTTGAGAGAAACCTGACAAGACCTGCATGGGGCTGGGGTAATACATTGGTCCACATGGACCCCTGTTTGTGTAGAAGTGTTCATCTCCAATAAGGTCTACTCTGCTTACACCAAGGGGTCAGGAAAGGCTGACCTTGATTATCTTCTCCTTCTGTCCCTCCCTCTCCTCCACACCTGGCCCAGCAGAGGAAGGAAAACTAGCTTGACAGCTGACCTTGATTATCTTCTCCCTCTGTCCCTCCCTCTCCTCCACAGCTGGCCCAGCAGAGGAAGGAAAACTAGATTGACAGCTGCCCAGCCCTTCCCCTGAAAGTCAGAGGCGCAGGTTGCTTTACTACCACCGAGGCAAAAGTGGTTTGTCTCCTTCATGTCGTTCTAATCCTTACAGAAGAATTTGTGGCAGCAATACGAAGACTATAGCTAGGAGGATCAGCACCTCGGAACCTCTTTGAAACTTGCTAGAGGTTGAGGGCAGTGGGCAAGAGGAAAGTTCCTCTGAGCACCTTCTGTGAAAAGGAGAAGCCGGGCCTTGGGGATGTTCATTCAGTTTCACAAGTGGCAAGATTTTCACCTCCGGTTGGCAGCTTTCAAATCGTTTCCCATTTCTCCAACTTAGGAAGAAGCTGTGAAAGCCGCAGGCAAACGGGGATGAATGATTCATTTGGTCCTGGCTATTTCCTTCACTCCTAGGATGTCTCAATATCTACTCTGTTATTTGAGAATAATAATAATAATAATAATAATAATAATAATAATAATAATAAATCTTCTGCTTCCCTGGGACTTTCAGCGGAGTCGTTAGGCACGTGATGAAACCTTGGGTTGCACGGGGCTCCATTCATCCATTCATCCGTCCGTCCATCCGTCCAACCATTCACTAGACCACCCACCCACCTACCACCCACCCATCCATCGCAAAGCCTTTCTCCCTTTCCGGCTTACACTGGGCGTTAAACTCCGGTCTCTCCAGGCCTCTGGCGCACGTACACACGCGCGGGCGGGCGGGCGGGGTGTGCGGGAGGGCGGGCTGGCCGCGCCGGGGGCAGGACTACAGCCTCCCGAGGGGCGCGAGGGCGGGGAGGCCGGGGAGGCCCGGGAGGCCCGGGCGGTGTGGCGGCGGCCGAGCCGAGCCCATCCGAGCCGGCACCTTCGGACGCCCCTGTCCCACGTGACTGTCCCCTCCTCCCTCCTCCCAGTCGCGCGCACGGGCCGGGCGTCTCGACTCCCGCGCGCGCTCGGCTGGTCCCAGTCCCCGGGAGAAGAAGCGGAGGAGGGAGCGAGCCAGCGAGGCGGCCCAGGGGAGCGGGCGCGAGTGGCGGCTGCCGGAGCCGCCTGTGCACGGGCGGCGGCGAGGCGAGGGTGGCGGTCGCCTGAGCAGCGAGAGCCGGGGCGGCGCGGAATCCGCATCCGCCGCGAGTGTGATGAAGCTGCCCTGCCTCGCTGCTCCGCTTGCCGCCAGCTGACACCGCCTGCACCCAGCCCGCCCGGGAGGGGAGACGCCGCGGGGCCGTGACCTTGGCGGAGGAGGTAAATAGGGGAGGCGGGCGGGGAGGAAGCAGCGCCACCCAGAGCCCTCCCGGCCCCCGGCCCGCACCCAGCCCTCGCTCTGCGCAGCGGGAGCGTCGGCTGGCGCAAGGCGGCCGCCCCCGGGAGCCCCGCGGCGGGGCTGGGCTACCGGCGCAGCGCGCACCCCGCGGTCCACGGTGCTGAAACTGCTGCCCGGCTCCGGCGGCCGCCGCGGCGCGGGGCACAGGCTCGCCTGCCATTTGCTGCTGCTGTGAGAGCGAGCAAGGGGAGCTGGGCTTGCCTGTTTTCTCCTCTTTGGCTGGTTGCTCTGGAGGCTTCTGCAGTTAGACTTTTACCCACAGTGACCCAGGTAAAATGGCCTGAAGGCTTGACCTCCCACTAGTTCTTGTTGCCGGGACATGTTCTGGTGTCTTCTTGCAAAAAAATTAGGCAGGATTACCTCCGGACTTCCGAAGCGAAGTGGGGAGAAAGGAGAGCAGCCGGTGGCTGGCAGCGCAGGCAGGTGAAACTAGGCGAAGCACATACTCTGGCTCTGTGTGGGAGACCCGGGGGAATAGAGAGGAAACCATGTGCTGGAGAATGACACCGGGAATGGGCCTCTCTGATGCGCTGCAGGTGGGGACACTAGACAGCTACCTGGGAGAAAGTGTGCTGCCCCGCCCCCCTCCCGCCCCCCAGGTGTTGCCTTTCCACCCTTTGGGGAAAACATCACTAAGTGCAGGTTCAAGTATTGGGAGAGAAGAGAACTCTGTCCTAGGGAAATGCTACCGATGAGTTGTTAGGGTGAGCATCAAACACTTCTCAAAAATGAGTATCCAGAAAATGAAGTCAGCTCAAACGATAACCAAATGGCTATTTCTACCTGGAAGATTGTAATTTCTTATAATTCCTTGAGGGTATTATAGGTGTCAACTAATTTTTTAAAAAATCCATGTCCTGTGTCACTTTCTCCAGCCAGCCCCAGTTTGTAAGAACGCGCCACGTGGGGTGGGTGTTGTGAATGATGACGATGAATCAGGGGGGTCCCCTAAGCACCACCACTGGGATCTCACTGAAGTCTCTCTAACCCTTTGCAGGGCACACTGAGAATTCTCGTATCTGAGAGCGGACCAAGTTTTGAGCGACATGGCCCAGGGGAATAATTACGGGCAGACCAGCAACGGGGTGGCCGATGAATCACCTAACATGCTGGTGTACAGAAAGGTAAGAATGTCTTCAGTTTCTTGGAAAACGGGAAACTTCTGGCTTTCTCGATGATTTTCTCCCTCTAGATCAGAGTATGTATCAACTTTGTGGCCTTGAGGATTCCCCAAATCATCAGTGATTACGTACTGTATACGTGAAAGTGATCTGACATTCTCCAGTGATGCATACGTGGAGAAACACGTTGAAGTAAATAAGGCCTCCTTCCATGTTCCCTGCTGGTTTTGCATAGATTATTCTGTCATGAGCAATAACAGCAAATTTGGGCATTCCAGATATTTTGGTTGTTATACACATGATTTAGTAGCATCCAGAATAATTTTAGAAGCTTTTTCTTATACTCAGCTCTAAACATTTAGGTTATAATAATTGCATAAGCGTATCACATTTTAGAAATAAAAATAGACCACTTTGCAGTTTTGTGGCAAGAGAGAGAATGTGTCTGTGTAAATGTATGTGGTTTAATAATTTTGTTCTTGACTAGTCAATTCTAGTCTTTTTTTGTCTTAGCCTAAATTATTTTTTACTTTCTGTTACTTTTATGATTTGGGGTATTTATGGGTATTTACATTCTAGTGCCATATACCTGTTAAATCATTAAATAATATTTATCTTGCAGAGTTGCTTTTTTTTTGGGGGGGGCCACAAATAGGTTTGGCAGCCTTATACGTTTAATAGCAATGCTACCGGCAACAAACTTTTAGACATTGAGCAACCATAATAAAGGTGCATTTAAATATTGCATGTGCTTTCGAGTGATTGCTTAGGCAACTTCACTCTGGTTATCATCAACAATCTTACTAAAATTAAGGATGCAGTATTCTTCTGCACCAATCATTTTTATTGCATTTTATAAATGATTTTTTAAAGTATATTATCTGGAGTGCTTATTGGGCAATATTTCTTTGGTTAACACTCACATGGTAAAAAGGAAGTCATACTTTGAAACACCCCAAAATTGTTAAAGGTTTTAATTTGAGAGAAGCCCATTGAAGAGTTCAAGATGTTTGCATTTATCTCCTTTTCAGTAAGAGGATCAGAACTGATTATGAATAAAGATGAAAGACTGTGTCCTACTTTAACCTGCACTAAATCAAAACTTTTCATCCGTGTAGCCCAGAATCATTAAAAGATAGTGATGAATATGTGTTTGAGGGAATATTGCTATGGCTTTAACGGAAAGATGCACAGGCGTCCTGGTACAATGCTAGCTGTTTTATTCTCTAGCGTTGGCAAACAGTACTATATTGTGTACTTATGAATGCATTTACATGGGTGTGAGATAAAACAGTATGATGGGGAAGAGAAATCAGAACCTAGTTGTCTATGTTAGTCTTAAAGCATTCCAAGTGCGTAAATCAGGAAAATAATCCACTTGAGTTTAAATTACTAGTATTGTATTTTTAAGTTAATTGAATTAACTGGATACTTGTCTATTCTATTTAGAGTTGGTTTTGAGAAGAAATATTTTGGGGGGAGTTGGGTGGTTTTAAATGTCATAATATTTTGTATTTTTGGTAAAACTCTGAATATTGTAATATGCAAGCTGTGAGGATTTTGAATTCTATCTTATGGGTGTATACAATGTGAAGAGTTAGACTTTTGGTTGGAAAAATATTGGTTGGAAAAATATAGTAGTAAGCTATTTCCGTTAGACTAAACAATTGTATTCCCTCTCTGTTTCCCTTTAAAAGATTAAGGACTGAGTAGATTGGACACCTAATAGTTATCTTCATTAGAAATAAACTAAATATGCAGCAACCCGTGTGTGTCAGTCAGTTATTTTGAGAACAAATAAAATAAGAAGACAGGGCTTTTAGAAATAGTTATTTGACTGTTTAGTGTATCTGAGCCTCACATTGGTGATTTTGGGTTTACTCTATACTGTGTTGTATAGCATCAAATCGCCATTGATTTTACTTTTAAGTTAACAGACTGTAATGATTTCAGGAAGAGAATGTACTACCTCATTTTTTAAAAGCATGATTATTTTGTTGATTAAGCTTAGAACTGCTTGTGCTACTCATTTTTCCCTTCTTTTATTAGCTCCTTGCTTAGGATTAGTGACCACATATAACTTACTTTTCAAAGAAAGATTTTCCTGATAAATCATTATTGGAAAAAATAACTCCTTTCAGTAAATTCTACTCTTAATGCTTACCTATGGATTGTCTGTCTATTCTTGTATTCTCTGAGCATTTGTTTTTTGTTTTTCTTTGTGATAGAAATAATAATATATAAATAATATCAGATAATGTGTAAAGAGACACAGTGTCCTTGCTTGTCCTTTGCTAGTTATCAGGTCAAACTGTCTATATCTGTGTGTAGATGTAGATCGGGACATCACATATTTCATGTGTCCATTATGCTTCTATTTTTTCTGTCTTATATGGGCTTTCCATTCAATATCTTCTCAGTAGAGGCCAAATTTCAATGTGAAGAACAACAAAATAATTGGAGAGGGGTGTTGGTTGAATATGTGTGTTAGGATATTTCAACTGCTCCGCCTTCATAAAAGAATAAACACTAGATTACAATGCTTATTAGTCAGGAAGTCAATCAAAGACTTAGAAAAAAACTTCAGTTCCAATAGGACATTGCTTAGTAACAGTGGAGAGAAAGGATAGAGAAATTGCTGTTCTATCGACTCATGCGCATTTTCCCTTCTACTTCACTATTGAAGCATCATTCTTGAAAGTGTGTTCTGAACTGGGAGCATTCGTGGTGTTTTGCCTCCTCATGACACCTCCTGTTTACTTATTGCGTACGACTCTGAGGATTTACAAACACTCAAGATATGTATGTGCTCTTTCCATTTTATCTCCATAGGCTATTGGTTTCCAAAGTGGAAAACACAGAAAAGCTGGGATGTGTAAATTTCTTGTGTTTGTTTGATCTCTCTCTCATTATTGCTATCCTCATACAAATTACAGGAGTTCCTCCAAATCACGGAAAAATTCCAGGGATCTGTTTTCCATGGAGAAGTTCATAGGAATCTTATGGAAAAAATGTACAGTGGATAAAACTCTGACTGTTAAGGTAGAGTGGATGTCACCCTATTGAAGGGCACAGGTGATGGTAATGCTGCTTCATGATCCGAATTAGGGTTGCTACTTGCAAGTCAGTCTTGGATGTTGGCTGGTAGGTTTTTGGCGTAATACAGGGAGTCTCAATAGAGTTCATCTGATGTCAGAGACACATTCTAAAAATCCGTATAGCCAAAGTATTTGCCTTCTCAGTTCTTCTATTTAGAGGGCTGTCTTTTCATAAGCAGGTGATTAAATTACAATGGTTATGTTGTTTTATGTACTTGAGGACGTCTCATTTAAAAGCACATAAAATCTTGTGGCTTGACTGCTTTTATTCCTGGCACTTTTTAGGCCTCCTTCAGACAGGCCCCTAACTAGATTAGAACTAGAAGTCATCAACCGCCTTGGGAAAAAGAGACCCAACTAGCTCCAAGAGGTGCTGGATTCAGATCAGCTTCTTGAAGAATCTTTAGAGGTGATAAGTCAGAACTCAGTGTTATTTGGTGTTGATGGATCTTAAACAATACCCCCATTTTTGGTCGGCTTTGGACAAAACTCTCCTTTGTGGGGGCAGCACTGGCCGTAAAGAACAACTGAGTACAGGGAGAGACACTCCAAATTTGGTGTCTGGCCAGCATGCTGTCCACTAGACAGTATACATCACTTTCAGTCCAGCAGCTGACATTCCTGCATTTGAAAAACAAAATTTCTAGGGCACCTTGAAGCCAGAGCTTCAAACTGGCTGGATTGCTGGCTTCTCACTCGTAAGACTCCTCAAAATGCCCAATAATTTCTGATATTATTGCAGCAATCATTTATGCTCAAGCTGTCAGAAAAGAAAATGAAAATGTTTTCCTCATTCATTATCTTACTGCAGTAAACATGGTTTTGGAAATAGCAAACTTACCAAGTTCACTGTTCCTCCCCCATCTCCTTCTTCCCCTTACCTTTCTCCTACTCCCATTCTCTCCTCCATTCTCCTCTCCTGTCTCTTTATCCTTATATAGTCGCTTGCTTTGCATTTGTTTGTTTTCATTTTTTTCTTTTCAAACCTGACTTAAAGTTGAAGACATAATGTGCACTGTTTATTTAGTCATAAAGGAGGAAACAATGCCTTTTGGGGAAGAGAAGAGATGACAGCCTTGTTACCTGTGAAGCTCAGGTACCTGAATAAATCTTTCAAATATGGTATCATATGGTGGTAGTGGCAAAAGGTTATTATTTTAGGGTTAAGGTGGCTCCATTCTGTTTTTTTTTTTTTTTTTTTTCAGGGTCTTGCTCTGTTGGCCAGGCTGGAGTGCAGTGGTGCAATCATAGCTCACTTTAACCTTGAACTCCTAGGCTCAAGCTATCTTCCCACCTCAGCCTCCTGAGTAGCTGGGACTACAGGTGGGTGCCATGATGCTTGGCTAATTTTTTTGTTTTTTTCTAGAGATGGGGTCTCACTATGCTGCCCAGGGTGGTCTTGAACTCTGGGGCTCAAGTGATCCTCCTCCCTCAGCCTCCTAGACTGCTGAGATTACAGGCATGAGCCACAGCACCCAGCCGTGACTGCTCCATTCTTGAAGACCAAGGCGAGACCACTGGCTTTTCTTATATGAAGGCCCAGTGAGAGCTATCACCCAACCAGGAAGAGTACTTAAATGCTGACTGACTTGACCTAAGCATTGTCTTTGAAAGCTACTTCTGAAGTCAGCCTGTTCTGTGAGAGGAGACCTACTTGCCAGAAAGAGGAGTGACTTGATTTCTTTTTTGGAAGAGACTGGGCCACAGACATTAGTAGTCTCTCAGCGTTGAGCTAGCTGACATTTTCTGCATTAACTCAGTGGATTTGTCAGTGCAGTACTGCCCATCTGGTCAACCCTGAGGGTGTCGATATTTCTCCCCTAAATCCCCGTTGTGAAAAATAATCTTTGACCTTTTTTTGTTTTGTTTTTTTTTAGATGGGTTCTCATTATATTGGCCAGGTTG